CAGTAGCATATTTTATATACATCCATGGCTTACACTGACTGCTCGTGTCTATTACTTTCCTGGGCTTTTTGGAGGGCACACTTGATATCTCAGTGGTTTTGCTGTTTTACAAGAAGGTTCTAATTATATTATCTACTGTATAGTTAACAGGAAAATAAAATATCGGTAAAATAAAGTAGTACATTGTATGTATTACATGTTTAGAATAAACGTCAGCATTTTCACATCAGGTGTGTGCTTACAAAATCTAGAAGATGACATCAGAAATAAAGTCTTCTGTGAATTACAATGAAAGTAGCAATCGAACTCTACCACAGAAATAAGCTTTGTTGATACCCAAGGCAGTCTTCACTCATGACACCGCATGCTCCATGTGTACGTCTCACTCACACCGAGAGCAGGTGGGCTTAACTTTCCTCTCCTATATAGCAAGCAGTCTTGTCTCCTCTCTTCTGTTTTGTCAGGGGCTTCCTACTGTACTGTACGTATGCACTTAGCAAGGAAATGTGATGTCAATAAAATATAATATCAAATACATAATCAGTGCTATGTATATATGTATTCTTTATTTTAGAGAAGGGTCTACAGGGTATTTAGGGTCTCACTACTAGATTGGACTCATAGTGATCTGCCTGTTTGCAGCCTCCCAAGAGCTGGGATTACAGGTGCGCACCATCACACTCAGTCTCAATCACCGTCTCAGCACATCCCGAGAGCAGGGCTGGCAGGGGACGTGTTTTCTGGTATTTTCTCGTAGGGTACAATTGACATCTGTTTGTTTTTCCTGTTGTCCTAGCAGGTCTTTCTGACACTGTGCCTGCCTGCTCACCTGTCAGCTCACCAGGGTGCTCCACAATTGCTTGTATCGTTTCCTGAGCAGAAACATTTTGTTTTTCCTTTGCTGTAAATACTCTCTTATGAGCTCCAGTCTGGAGCCTCTAAGAAAATTTCTCTGTGATGTTTTGCACTTGTTATTGACTTTGTAAACTACCAAACTATTTGCACTGCACATATTTAGGATTGAGTAAAACACAGCCATGAGCCAATGTTTTGTGTTTCAAGTGACATGATAGTTGCTGTGTATCTCATCAACAGCACCTACTCTATGTTTGGTTTTGTTATTGAAAATTTCCATCTCATTCTTTCATTTTCCTGAGGTTTCCTTCTGAATATTTCTGTCATGGTGAATTGTTGACATCAGCAGTACCAGTTTGCTTTTTCTTTGCCATATGTGATGCCAGTTTTATACCTCTCTGAAAGTCAAAGATTATATTTGATAGGTTATGGCCCTAGGATGAATTGCTGAATTATTATGGTGGTCATCTGATATGGCTGAAGCCTTTAAAACAACATCTTATCTTCCCAATGACCACTTCCTCCTCCTTCCCCACTCCAGCCCTGGGTACAACTTCTTTGACCTTTTTTGCCCACACAAGGGACCCTCCAATCAGCTCCTTGTATGTCATTAAACCCGCCTCTCAAGCTCCGCGCCCAACAAAAGCCCATAAAGTCTCAGGCTCCCTGTCTCAGGTCAGAGGATCTGCCCATCTCCCGGCCCTCGGTCCTCTCCATGCATTTAGAGTTAATAAAGGCTTTCCCTTCCTGTATTTCTGCTTCTCTGCTGCGCTGCCACCACTGCTGCCAAACCTCTGTTTTGAAGTTACAGCATTTCATTTGGAATTTTTGCTTTGTTTCTGTATACAGTTCCTACACTGGCTAACTTGTGCTCTGTTAACAAATGCAACATCAGTCTGAAACTTGTAAGCCAACCATCAAATGTCATATTCTGATTGCCTTGGAAGATAGGAGCAATAATTCTGTTTACAACATTGTTCAGTTTATTACTATATGAATAAGGACCAGATGGCCGAGTTCCAGGATAAATATCTAAATTGAAGGCATAATAAGTCTTCAAATCTATAAGGGCATATATTTTTATGTCATATTTTGACCTATCGATTTTCTGCAAGTCTTTTACACTCCCATGATCAACATGGAAAATCTGGTGACCTGTGAATGCTTTCAGTTCAGCTAGTGAAATGTCATAATATATTTCTGAATATGGCTGTTGATGCATACAGAACATTTTGCTTGCATTACAGCCTTTGTGTATTTTACAGTGTCTTGTAGCATTTTATCTGTTCCAGTTTCTGAGATTGAAAGGCAGCGCTGGCTTTCTGTCCAGTACATTTTTTCCCTACCAAGACGTTCACTACAGTTTTGGACCTAGTTCTTTTTTTTTTTATTATTCATTAAGTTTATTGGTACATTTTAGGTATGATGATAGCATTCATTATAGGGATTTGTACCTGTACATGATACAGTTTGATTTTCCCCCATTCACTTACTTTCTGTTCAATGCCTCATGTCCTCCTTATTTACAAAAGCGTTGTTTCCATTTTTTTCTTCTTTGATCATTATTTTTTCTTTTCCTATCTGTCCTTCCCCTCTCTCCTCCATTCCCATTTGAATATTTCCTTTCTATTTCATAATATCCATTACACATTTTTTCGGCCTGGTTTTAACATTGGATCATTCTATTCCACTAGATTACATGGCCGTTTTCTATCAAATGTGTGTTCTCATTGCTGTTTTCTTCATTATCTGGATCAGAGCAGTCTCTGTTCCCTGTGTCTGGTATCAGTTGATTCTTGCTCCATTTTGCTGGCACAAGACCATTGTTTCAGGCCAGCCAGATAGCTCAGTAGTTTAACACGCCTGCTTAGGCAGATGCAGGGACCATGGTTCAATCCCTGGCATGAGGTTCTGACCCCTCCCCCGGGGCGCACTGAGACTTGATTGAGACTGGGCCTGGTGGTGCGAAACTGTAAGCCAGCACTTTGGAGGCTGAAGACAGGAGGATCACTGTAAGTCCAATCTGTGCAGTGAGACCCTATAGACCCTGTGCTAACTAACTAACTAAATAAATTTTTTAAAAAATTTAAAAAAAACTTTGTTTCTCATGGCCAACATCAAAGTCACCACCATCATCACATCCTTATACACCCACACCGCTCCTCTGTTATAAAAACCAGGTGTTATGGTGTGTGTCTAGATGTCTCCCCAAAGCCTCATGCAGTCATTGAGGTGGCTGCTAGAGTTTGTGATTAATGATCCAATGTTGGGAATATGGGTGTGAGTGGTGCTGGGAATGTAGGTGTGAGTGCTATACCTGTCCTGGTGCAGATGGCCTGAATGCAGCCTGAGGGAGGGAGAGAGGCTTGCTCTTTGCTGCTGCTCCTTCCTTTTTTGCTCTTGCTGTTTTACTGTCTTCTGCCGCCATGAACTGCAGCCCTCTCTGGGTGCTCTTCTGCCTTCGAGCCAATTGAGTATGGACTGAAACCTCCACAAACAGAGTTAAAAAGCCTTTCCTTCCTTAATTTTGGGTGTCCTGTGTTTTGTCCTAGTGAGGAGAGAAAAGCCATTGAAGTCATTGCGATGATGTATTTTACTATAATGGATCAGCTGCTTTAGTCCAGAGCACACCAAGCCCCAAGACAACAGGAGTCATCTGTTGCTAGGCAAAAAGGAGGTCACATGACATCAAACGTTCAAATGTATAAACAAACACTCTACAAGGGTTGAGCAGCTCCTTTCCTCCAATTCAGAGAGAGAGGGCTTCACCTGACCTCAGCTTTTTGTCTCTTTATGTCTCCATCCTCTTCCATCCTTTTCACTGGGAATTTTGAGAGCTGCTCTGGACATGCATGTAAATACAAAGACTGCTTCCTGTATCCTTTAGGGAAAGCTACTAAGACAGTTACTGTTCACTTACATACAAACTTACAGCAGAAAAGTAAGGAATGAGCTTGCTGAACACAGTCTTCTGTTCTAAGGGTTAAACCTTAGAGGATTGCAAATTTGAGCCCAGCCCAGGCAGCTTAAAGACTTAGTGAGACCCTATCTCAAAATTTAAAAATAAATAATAAGACCTAGGAATGTAGTTCAGTGGGAAGCACTTGGGTTTGATCCCTAGTACTTTAAAAATAAATAACTATGCATATGTACATCCTTACATACATTCATACATACCTGTGAATAGATAAATACGCACTGTAATTTGAGACGACAGGAGCATGATCAGGTCAGAGTTTTCCACCTGTAAATGTATTTTATTTCTCTACTTGGTTCTTGCCATACAGACTTTCTAGTACTTCTAGACCCTCCGAAACATCTTAGATATTCATATCCTTTTTGTTGGTTAGGTAACTTTAGAAAGGTTAACATTAAGAGAATGCTTATTGCTACTTAGTTATAATATTGATTCTTTTGAAGAACAATATTTTGGAAATGTAAAGACAAATGGGATTATGGAAAACTGTTGTGTCCTCAGGTCTGACCTTATTTATTTATTTATTTATTATTA